CCTATCCACCCTAACCAAGTTCTCACCGAATCTCGCCGTGCTTCGGCCGTCTTCAAGCTGTGTGCAGCCGTTGGGCTGTGGGTTGTCTACGAGCCGTCGTCGTTGAGAGGGGTGTGCCGAAATGAAGCTTCGGCTTCGGCGGAGCTCCCTGTGGCCCTGTGGGGCCAAGCCCAAGATCATCGAGAGGGGTGTGCTGAAATGAAGCGTCGGCCCAGCACCCTGTGGGGCCAGGGCCAAAATCCTCGAGAGGGGTGTGCCGAAATGAAGCTTCAGTGGAACTCCCTATGGGACCAGGGCCACGATCCTCGAGAGGAATGTACCGAAGTGAAGCTTCGGTGGAGCTCCATGTGGGGCCAGGGCAACGATCCTCGAGAGAGGTGTGTTCCGAAATGTAGCTTCGGATAAGCTCCCTGTGGGGCCAGGGCCACGATCCTCGAGACGGGTGTGCCGAAATGAAGCTTCGGATATGCTCCTTGTGGCGCCAGGGCCACGATCCTCAAGAGGGGTGTGCCGAAATGTTGTTTCGCTGGAGCCCCCTGTTGGGCCACGGCCACGATCCTCGAGAGGGGTGTACCAAAATAAAGTTTGGGTGGCGTTCCTTGTGGGGCCAGGGCCACGATCCTCGAGACGGGTGTGCCGAAATCAAACTTTGGTGGAGCTCCCTGTAGGGCCAGGGCCACGATCCTCGAGAGGGGTGTACCGAAATGAAGCTTCGGTGGAGCTCCCTGCTGGGCCAGGGAGCTCCCTGTGTGGCCAAGGGCACGATCCTCAAAATGGGTGTGGCGAAATAATAATTCGGTGGCGTTCCTTGTGGGGCCAAGGCCACGATCCTCGAGAGGTGTGCGCAGAAATTAAGTTTCAGTGGGGCTCCCTGTGGGGCCAAGGCCACGATCCTCGAAAGGTGTCCGCCGGAATGAAGCTTCGGTGGAGCTCCCTGTGGGGCCACGGCCAGGATCCTCGAGAGGGGCGTGCCGAAATGAAGCTTCGGTGGGAGTTTCTTGTGGGGCCAGGGCCACGATCCTCGAGAGGGATGTGCCGAAATGAAGCTTCGGATTAACCCCCTGTGGTGCCAGTGCCACGATCCTGAAGAGGGGTGTGCCGAAATGTTGTTTCGCTGGAGCTCCCTGTGGGCCAGGGCCACGATCCTCGAAAGGTGTCCGCCGGAATGAAGCTTCGATGGAGCTCCCTGTGGGGCCACGGCCACAATCCTCGAGAGGGGCGTGCCGAAATGAAGTTTCGGTGGGAGTTCCTTGTGGGGCCAGGGCCACTATCCTCGAGAGGGGTGTGCCGAAATGAAGCTTCACTGGAACTCCCTGTGGGACCAGGGCCACGATCCTCGAGAGGAATGTACCGAAGTGAAGTTTCGGTGGAGCTCCATGTGGGGCCAGGGCAACGATCCTCGAGAGAGGTGTGTTCCGAAATGTAGTTTCGGATAAGCTCCCTGTGGGGCCAGGGCCACGATCCTCGAGAGGGGTGTACCGAAATAGAGTTTCGGCGGAGTTCCCTGTAGAGCCATGGCCGCGATCTTCGATAGGGGTGTGCCGAAATGAAACTTCGGCGGAACTCCTTGTGGGGCCAGGGCCGACATCCCTGACAGGGGTGTGCCGACATGAAATTTCGTTTTACATCCTTGTGGGGCCAAGGCCACGATCCTCGAGAGGGGTTTGCCGACATGAAGTTTCGGTGGAATTTCGTGTGGGGACAAGGCCACGATCTTCGAGAGGGGTGTACCGAAATGAAGCTTCGGTGAAGCGGCCACGATCCTCGAGAGAGGTGTGTTCCGAAATGTAGTTTCGGATAAACTCCCTGTGGGCCAAGGCCACGATCCTCTATAGATGCGTGCTAAAATGAAGTTTCGGAAGAGCTCCCTGTGGCGCCAGGGCCACGATCCCCGAGAGGGGTGTGCCGAAATGGAGTTCCGGTGGATTTACATGTCGGACCAGGGCCGCGATCCTCGGAAGAGGCGTTCCGAAATGCAGTTTCGGATAAGCACCCTGTGGGGCCAGGGCCAGGATCCTCGAGAGGGGTGTACCGAAATGAAGTTTCGGTGGAGCTCCCTGTGGGGCCAAGGCCACGATCCTCGAGAGGGGTGCGCCGAAATGAAGTTTGGGACGAGATCCTTGTTGGGCCAAGGCTACGATCCTCGAAAGGGTCGCGAGGAGTTCAGCGTCGGTCCAGCTCCCTGTGGGGCCACGGCCACGATCCTCGAAAGGGATGTGCCGAAATGAAGCTTCGGTGGGGTTCCCTGCGAAGCCAGGGCCGCGATCCTTGAGAGGGGTGCGCCAAAATGAAGCTCCGGTGGAGCGCCCTATGGAGCCAAATCAACAATGCCGTGGGGGGTCCACCGAAATGAAGCTTCGGCGGGGTCCCCTAAGGGATTGCTGCTGGCCGCTGGTTGCGGGAGGGGGGGGGGGGGGGGAACGCGGCGCCCCGCGCCCCGTTTATTCCAACAACGACAACAGCAACAACAATCATTCTAAGACTAATCGCCCCTATCTGCCCGCGCGTCATTCCTTATGCATATCCCAAACCCAGGATACACGCCCTCTTCGTCTTCGATCGTACCCTTCTTGGGGGGTTATATTTCTCCCCGGCCACGCGTAATTGGAGAAGCGCGGGAGGCGAACCCGCATCAGAGGCAGCGAGCTCTGGCACTTGTCGGTGAGACCCCATTTCGCTTGTCGCAAGCAGATATCAGCGGCAATCCACACTGAGACCCCTTTTCGTTATCCATAACGCTGGGGTCACTGCGTGCAGGAACGAGAGGTACGACAGTGGACAGTGTTTTTGCCCAGCGGCCCCGCGGGCGGTGAAGTCGGAGCCCGATGTCATCAATCACATTGCTGGGATTCGCGCGTGCGGGAATGTGATCAGCTATATACAATAACAAAGCGCCATTACTACAGCGCCATTGGCGATGCTGCTCAGCGTGATGTGGAAGGCAACGCTCAAGGAGACGTGGGAGGTGAACTGGGGCCCGCCGTCCCCGGCGACGTTGGGGAGAGAGCTCTGGCAATGTTCGGGGGCACGTTGGAGACGATGCCCAAGCCGAACGCGGTGGTACCGGCGCGTGCGCGGCAGGCCGGTTGTCCCAATGGGTTATGGCGCTGCCCAGCGGGATGTTCAAGGCAAGGTTGGAACCCGATGGCGACGCCGAAGCCCGCTATCATCAGCTACAGTGCTGGATCAACACGTGTGGGGAAGTCCTCAGATACAGCGATGGTGCGATAATGACGGTTAGCGCGTGTGACAAAGACGGGCAGCGGCTGGTGGTTCTGGTGTTCGTCGGCATGATTTGGCCAGCGAGGCGCCGTTCCTTGAGTAAATTGTGCGGAAGTCACAGGCGGGAGCGGGGGTCCTGAGTAAATTGTGAGGAAGTCTCAAACGGGAGCGCCGATCCTGAGTAAATTGTGAGGAAGTCTGAGGCTGGAGCGGGGGTCATGAGTAAATTGTGAAGAAATCTCAAGCGGGAGCTGTGGTTGTTGTAATCCGGGGGGGCAACAACGCAGTCTGAGGATCAAGATTTTCCTTGTCAAAAAACAGGGTGCGAGCGTCGAGGGGCGCATTTTGACTGGGAAAAAAGAGTGTGCACCGGCGGGGGGGGATCAACAATAATTTTTCTTCAAAAATGAAAGTTCAATAATAACAACAGCAGCAGCAGCAACAACACGACAAGCATAATCATCCTCACCACGGATTCTCACTTCAGCCACGCACCCAGGGACAATGATCGACCGTTCGGCCCCCTCACTCTGGTACATGTATATGTTTATCTTTTATCTAATTATATATAAATATATATGTATATATATACATATACATATACATATACATATACATAGAAATGTGTGTGTGTGCGCAGTGTTTCTTGTTCGAGGCCCCCAGGGGGCCGAACGTAGACGAGAGGTGGTCCCAGGATACAATGCGACAGGACCAGAGGGATTGATGGTAAGGATCCAAGGCCCTATCGAAGACGAAGTTGGGAGCCCACGGCCCATAACCATGTTGGGCCGAGAGGCAGGCATGCAGGGGCCCCGTTTCAAAGCTGCCCCTCCTCACGATGCGGTTGGGCTGCAGCCCCGACGTGGCTCCGCCTGGGGGGGAGCCGAGCCCGCCCCGCACGTGGGGCAGACCCGCCGGCAAGGAGGTGGTCTCTGGAGCTCGAGGCGAGCGCCCCCATGACTACCTACCAGACCACCCCAACCCAACCCGAAGACCCGAATTTCGGGTTGGGGGGGTGAGGGTTCCACGCGTGTTTTTTCTATGTTTCCCACCCCCCCCCCACTAGAAATCGAGGGTAAATCTGAGCCTTCGGGCTGGGTTGGGGTGATTTGGTGGGTGGTGACCCCAAGACTCTCGCGAAAGTCTCCCGGAGAGCTCAACAGAGCGCCCAGGTGGCCCCAGCATGGGGCATCCTCCTCCTCTTCCTCCTCCTCCTCTTCCTCCTCCTCCTCCTCCTCGTCCTCCTCCTCCTCGTCCTCCTCCTCCTCCTCCCCGCTCCTCCTCCTTCCCGCGCCTCCTCCTATGAGACGGCTCCGCCTGGGGTGGGGGGAGCGCGGCGGGAGGCGAGGCCCGTCGGGTAGGACGGCCTGCAGTGCAGCTCCTGGGGAAACCAAGAGGCAGCGCCACCGCTGCTCCCTGGACCTCTCTCGGGTCGGGCGAAAGGGGGGGATAGCGAAGGGGGGGTTTGAGAATCAGCTCACGTAGCTGATTTTCCCGGCGCCTCCCGGCGCCGGAGGCGGCTATGCATCGAGGAATGGGCCCCTCGGTGGGGCCGAAACCAGCTGCATGCAGCAAATTTCGTAACCCCCCCTTTCCCAATCCCCCCTTTTCGTCCGGCCCGACTCTCCCCGGGTGCGTTCCGACCAGAATTTCAAGGCGAATCCAGCAGTGGCGACGAGGGCCCCCCAGGTGGCCCAAAGAGGCGAACACGAGGGAAGGGCAGCGGTACATGGGGTACCTTTTCCCCCTCTGCGCTCCATCACCCGGGGAAGAGCAGCCACGGCGTCGGTGAGGCTGGACTGCTCGCAGGGCGCCTCCGCGTAGGGGTCCACGGTGGCCGCCGGCCCGGGCGGTGCGCCAGGCGATGCGGAGGCGTGCGGCCTCTGCCCTCGCCTCCGGCTGCCCCAGCGCCCCCTCCCGCTGCGCCACGAGCACTGCTAGGGCCACGAGGTCTGTTCGGCCTCCTCCCCTCCCAGGCCCGGCCCATCCTGGGCCCAGGAGAGCGGCGCATGATAGGCACTCCTGGCGTGGCCTGGGAGTGGGCCAGGCCTGGGGCAGCGGATGCGGCATACATCTTGTCGCCCGAATTTACGCACGACACTCGCCGACGAGCTCCCCCCTTATGCACTCCCCCCTATGCACTCGAGGAGGGCGGCGGCGTAATCGGCAGCGGCTCAGAACTTGAAGGATGTCTGCAGCCACGTGAGCCCCTGCGGACGGGTCTGATACCCCATCGTCGATTGAACCTGCATCGGTAGGGTTGGCAAGAATTCCCAAGCTTCGCCTCCCTCCCTCCCTCTGGCCCCGCTTCTGTCTCCCACCCCATCCGCAGAGTCCAGGGACCAGCCGCTGATTCTGGGCTCTTGGGCCACGCCCAGACTCTCTCGACCTCGTGAGCTCCCGCGCCGTACGCAAACACCTGTGGCAACAACATGATGTGAAAAGCAAGGTGTCCTTTTCAGAGCGCGACGGCCAGTGTTCTACAAGACTCCCGCATCGATGCTCAATGACCTAGGCTTTGTGCGTTTAGGGCATCCTTCGCCAAAGAAAGCCTCTAGACGTCCGATGTCTCCCAGAGTTCGGCCCCAAGACAGAATTAAGGGATCCAGAAAGTCTGAGGGGCACGGCACGAATAGATCATGACGCACGATATCGTGATGAGAGACGCATGAAGGGAACTCCAACGAATCACAGCGGGTTGAAGGGCAACATTGCGCACACATAGTCGGAAGGGGAATGAGGAGGGACAACAGCAGAGCATAGAATCACCAGGGTTGAGAAGTAGCAAGAGCAGGGAGGAGGAGGAGGAGGAGGAGGAGGAAAAGGAGGCAGCTTAGCTGAGCAGCAAGCGCGGCCAAGGACTGGCGAAGGACGTATTAGCCGAAGTCGTTGCCCACTCCTCCGATCCGCACGACTGCCTCAAACACCAAGAGCCCCAGGGTCGCGCGGAGACACTGCGCGAAGCGGATCGGATACCCGCCGTCCTCCTCGTGGCGCACCTCGTGCAGGACGTGCCTGAAAGCTCCGAAGAAACATGGCATGCGCGTGATGGGGTCGCCGCCGTGGGTCACACGGAATGCCGGCACCTCCTTCGCTATGGCGTCATTCCAGGCAGAGGCAAACGCTGTGCCGCCGACGCGTGGTGACTCGAACGTGTAGATCCTGCTCAGGTGGAAGCCGTGAAGCCTCGACAATGGCCACGCCGCCAGTGTGGCGAGAGCCCCTCCTAGTGAGTGCCCCGTCAGAACCAAACCGCTGCCCTCGCAGCCGCTGCCCCTCAAGGCGCTCAACACCTCCTGCTCTAGCTCCTGCCAGGCGTTCAGGAACCCCTTGTGGACATAGCAGCTCCTGCAGCCCCACTCGACGGGGACCTCGACCTGGGCCACATCGAGATCAGTGTGCAGCTGCGCCACGTTGCCGTGCAGGCTGCCGGCATAGGTCGACCCGCGGAAGGAGACCAGGCACTCGGTGGACGGAACGTCTCCGCGAGCCTGGGCTGTGTCCGCAGCTGGCAGCTTGGCCGTCAACCCGCGGAAAGCCGAGTGCTTGGTGGAAAACACCTGCACGCTCCGCGGCACGACATCCAGGCCCGACCGGTTGCAAGACTCGCACGTCCACTTCGAGATCTCCTCCAGGCATGCAGGCTTCGTGTGGTATGCCAGCGACGACACGATCGCCAACTGCTTGGACGCGTTGATGTCGAACTCGAAGGGAACACTCCCAGCGGCCGCCTTGGCGTCCAGACTGTGCAATGCCTCCGTGGCGTTGCGGAACTCCAAGGAAGCCTCTACGCCGCAACCGGATATGTCCATCTGCACTGGACGATCCGTCTCGAAGAAGCCCTTCAGCTCGTCCACAGTGTCACCGACTGGCTTCTGAGAGCTCCACCGCCAGGGATTCCACCTCTCCACGGCGGGCACGAGGCCGGCGTCGCCCCACATCCACCTGCAGGTCCTGTTCGCGCACAGCGTGATGTCGCGCCGCACCGCCCGACTGTCGGCGAAGTGGTCGAGGCGACGGAGCGCGTCGCCCACGCTGGCGAAGGCCTGTCGGGTCGGGCGAAAGGGGGGGATAGCGAAGGGGGGGTTTGAGAATCAGCTCACGTAGCTGATTCTCCCGGCGCCTCCCGGCGCCGGAGGCGGCTATGTATCGAGGAATGGGCCCCTCGGTGCGGCCGAAACCAGCTGCATGCAGCAGATTTCGTAACCCCACCTTTCCCAATCCCCCCCTTTCGCCCGGCCCGACGAAGACCTGCCGGAACCGCGAGCCGCAGCTCTCGAAGTCGACCTCCACCGGCCGGGCCGGGCTGGAGCTGGCCTGCAGCTGCTCCGCCACCGCGGGGACCGGCAGCGCGGGGCTCCAGCGAAGGGGGTTCCACTCGGCCGCTCTGCTCGGGTGCTGCTACAAGTGGTCCTGGCCCAAGGTACAGTCGGGGCGTTGGCCTAAGGAACCCTAAATAAGGAACGGGGCCCCTTTCTCCAGTAAGTTGAACTTCGATTGTCCATGGAAAACCTTAGGAAAACCCGAGGACCACTGCAAAACATCTAAGGAACACGGAGCCCCTCGGGAACGAAAAGGATTCCTTCTTCAGGGCCCCGACTGTACTCCCAGCTTCTCGAGCCACTTCTGGGGCTCTGTAGCCCCCTGGGCCTCGTGAGAGGTGCTCTGGCAGCTCCACGCCTTCGACCATCGACGCCCTGTTACCCATCGGCCTTCGGCAGTCTTCTGGCGTTCTTCGGCGGTCTTCTGACGTTCGTCGGCGGCCTTCGGTGGTTTTTGGCAGTTTCCGTCAGTCTTCGGCGCGAAATCTGGGTCGCTGCGTTCGACAAGGGGCACATGATCGGACATCTGAGGAACCGTATGCCGTATGCGCCCCGCTGGGAAAGCCGGGCTGACCCTTGGGGCCAGAGCCACTCCTGGCAGCACCCGATCTGTGCATGACCTTGGCGCCGACCCCCGGCACTCTGACGCCAGCGTCGGCCCACATCCACCTTCGGGAGCGGCCAAGAGGGGGGTGTCCAAGAGGGGGGTGTGCAAATCATGACCAGCGGCATGTGCGCGGCCCAGCGGGGGGGCCAGGGACGTCATGAAATAAGAAGAGGCGCCGAGAAATCTGGGGAAATATCATGGCCCCCGCCATGATATCCACCCCCCCTAGTCATCACCCCCCTCTTTACCGCCCCCGACACCTGGGCGACGAAAAAAAAACCGGGCCTTACGCGAGCTGGCACAGGGACCTGTGCGCTGCAGCTTACGCGGGCCGCCAGCGCGGCACAGTATACACTGGAATCGAGGGCCGCCCACGCCAGAGGCCTCCTCGAAAATGGGGTCCGAGTAGATGGAGTCGGAGGATCGCGCCGCATCGGCGATGCATCGGCGATGCGGCGTCGACATCGGCGATGCCGACGTCGGCGTGGAGAACATCGGTCTCCGCATCGAGCCGCATCGTCGATGCATCGGCGATGCGGCGCGATCCTCCGACCCCATCTACTCTGACCCCAATCTGGGGGGCCTGGACACGTGCGACCTTACGCGGGCAGCTTACGAGCGAACGTCCCCGCAATGGGTCTCCGTTTTCCGTTTGTCCGTTCCCGCCTGGCGGTGCCGTTCGCGCAGGGCGCGCCGCTGGCGTCCCACAGCCTGAGGGGCAACGCCAGTGGGGGGGGCTGGCAACGAGGGGGACACATCCTCGAGTCGGCGCTAAATTTAGAAGAATGAAACACGGCGCAAACATACACTTTTTGCGCTCTGCGCGGATGTCTTGGATCTGCGTCAAGGGGGCCCAGCGCGGATCCAAGAAATTCGCGAGGAGCGTCAAAAGTTTATGGTTATGGCGTTTTGTTTCTTCTTCGAGATACATCGCCGATAGATCGGCGAGAGGCCACCGAGAGTGAATCCGCACGCTCCTGGGCAGGTTGGGGCTATCGGGCCCTTGTTGGCGATCAGTGAGCGATTAGGGGTCGATGAGTCAGTCCCCTCTGTTGGGGGAACCAAAAGATACCGATATCGCTACTCCCAAAACCTCTCCCAGGGTGCGTCCTGACCAGAATTTCGAGGCGAACCCAGTAGTGGTGAGGAGAGCCTCTCAGGAGGCCGCAAAAGCGGGAAACGGGCGAAGGGTAGCGGTATGTTGAGCAGAGACCGACAGTCCCAGCATTCCTATACGCGTACAAGGAGATTTTCCTGGAACGGAGAAGTTCGTCAAAAACAACTTGTTCTTCGAACATTCACCCGATGTGTGAACATTCGACGGTCTCAGCCAGAACTGTTCTGACAACAGATCGCGCAAACCACAAAAGCTAGTCTCAGAATATACTTCCCTTCGGGGATGGACAGACCCCCCTTTAGTAAAACGTGGTTTAGTGAAAACGACCTGAGGCCCAAACCTGGCGGGCGCAAATCTGGAAAATAACGGCCACGGCGCCCTCTCGAGAGCCGAAAACGGACAATTCACTAATCGACGTGTCACTGTTGGGGGTTCTGTCCACCCCCGATCCCTGGGCCTACAGGCAAGCCTGGGCTCCTCGCCACTGCCTATCAAGGGGGGTACTCTCCCCTCCTCTGACACTTTGTGGGCCCTGGAAACGGCAGGGCTCTTTTTTCACCGTTTCCAAAAAAAATGCCCCTTGAAAATGGAAACGGCAAAAAAAACGGCGACCGGAAACGGAAAAAAAACAGCTCCAGGATTGGAACCGGAGCCATAACCGGTCAAAAAACTGCGACGGAACCGGTCAAAAAAAAGGGCGTCGGAACCGGCAACAAAAACGGCAATCCGGAACCGGTAACAAAACGGCCCTGTCGTTTCCAGGGCCCACTAAGCTCTGACCGACGTTGCCCCTGACAGCCCCACGCGGCCGAGGAACTGCGACGACGCGCGGGCCCGGCCCACGGCGGGCGGCGCGGCCAGCCCCACGAGGCCGGCCACCGCGGCGAGGCTGCCGGCAAGCACGGCGAGGCGCACGCCGCGGCCCCCGGCGGCGCCCGGCCCGCTGGCCGGCAGGACCGGGAGGTCCGCCACCGCGCCTGGCAGCGAGTGGCGTGCGTCGGGCCCTTTTGGGCGCCCGAGCTATCCGGGGTAACTCGGGTCCGGGGTAACTCGGGTCTGGATTCCCGAAAAAAGGAACCCGAGTTAGCCCTCCTGAAGGCATTTGAAGTTAGTAACTGTTAGGCGGAGTTATAACTTAGTTATAACTCAGTTATAAAAGTTAGCATGTTGATTTATTTCGGATAACATGATAGTTGTTCGGCTAACATATACTTGATTTGGGGGCGTTCAATGTTGTTTCAATTTCGATGTTGTGTTTCTTGCGGGATGTTTTGAAGATGTACTCATTGGTGTGAAGATGTATACTTCTACATCGCAAACGCGTCAGCATTCCAATTTGCGATACTCAACTGGCCAAATGCAAGTGATTGCATCGCCGAGACGCCTGTTAATCACAGGGTGCCTCAGCGAGTCCAAAGGAATGAGCACGGGATTATTATCTTCGTCTGTGGAGTACCTAGAATAGTAATCTGCGCTGTGCACGTGCCGAGTCTGCAATTCCAAGAGTAAGCATAGAGGCCCTGAGGGCGCAGTCCCTGTGTCACAATCTACATGGAACCAGACCTGCACGGCTGCATGTCCTGCAGCACGTCCCAGCAAGCATATGTCTCCTCTATGGATCGGCCCGTGCTTGGTCCACGCCGTGAGGCTCGATGATGCCGATTGCGTTTGCGGACGCAACTCCTTCAAGACGCCCATGAGCTTCTTGGTGGCGGCTGCGGGGTCGACCAGCGTCGTTGAGATGCTGAAGTGCTCCATGTCGTAACTGTGCTGCGCCGTGAGCTGCATCATCAATGACTTCTCGGGGGTCCTCATGCACAGATGGTCCTTTGCAAACTTCTTGCAAACTTTGTGCTTCCGCTCGTGGACGAAGCAGTTCAAGGGTCCGAATTTGAAGTACATGTTGGCAAGATGAGTTGCCATATGGTGTTTGTAAACCCAATATTTAGTCCCGTATGTGCGCGCGTGTAGCTCCAAATGCTTCATCACGGCGACATCCAGCTCACGTGCAGTCGCGAGGCCCTTGGACGAGAGAATAACCATATCAACGGCATCGCACAGCGCAAGTAAACTTGCAATATGACCCGAGATGGTGCCTGCATCAGGCAGCTTGGCAATGACTTGCCTGATGAAGTGCGCCAGCACGGGAATCATAGTCAGCTCTTGCGATGCGTTTGCTTGTAGTTCGCCCTGTGCGAACGCGGCATTGGCGGCATGAAACTTGTGGGGCCATGTTCAGTTTGAAAGATAGTCGTTGAGATCTTCGGCGCTGCAGAGTTTGCAAACCGCCTTGTTCTCAGTGAAAGCTTTCACTTCTTTAGCTACGATGCCATTGACGCTATAGATGTGCATCCAATCGAAGCAGAGGAGCGACATGACACCGTAGGCGAGGTTGGCGTCCAAGGCAACGTGCGTCGGATGAAAGTTCCAACCCTTTAGCTGCGTGATCTCCTTCCACTTGTTGTCGCTAATCTCACCGCGGTCGTACCTCTCCCAGTCGGGGCGTAGCCTTTCCAAGATAGCAACGATCTGCGCGTCTGTGTTGACGACGCGTTTGCTTCTGTCGGGGCATGCGTCCGATATAAATGTACCAGACGTGTCGTGCGACGCATAGTCGAACTTCTGGTTGAGCACGTTCCTGCAGATGTCACACGGTTTGGTGCCCGCGTGCCCTTTGTTCATGTGGAATTCACGGAGGGCTTCTTCGTCGCCCACAGTGCAGCCCAACCTCGCGATTATAGTCGCGTGCCTTGTGGCATCCCCTGCTTCTGACACGTCCAAGATAACTCCAGTCGTACGAAAGTTCACCCCGCCAGGCGTATTGAACATGAGCTCGTTGCACGTCATTGCAACCGACTGCCCGATCCCTCCAGGCATGTCCCTCACTTTGGAAACCCGAGCGGTGCTGAGCACGAGCCATGCGTCTTCGTCCTGCAAAAACTCATCGAACTCTAGAAACGACCAGTATACAGCATCCACCCCTCGGTGGTCTTTGCCCTTGGCCAACGGGTCACGCGGTGAGATGCCGTCGAAATATAAGCAGATGCGCCATGGGGATGCTAGGGAGCACGGGTGCTTGGCGAGCTGGCGGCGCAACAGATCTCTGAACCCCTTACTCCGTTTCGCCGTCGAGTACAAGTACGGGCCAGGGGCGCACGCCCAGTTCTTGAAGCTCTTACCGCTGTTCAATGGCATATCAATGCCGACAAGCACGTCACCGTACTGGTTCGATTCGGCACCGATTAATTTCTGCCTTGCGCTGTACTGCGCATAGAGCGAAATGTTACCTGGTATGCCATTATCTCGTACGTACTTGAGAATGTATGTAAGACTCCGCTCAGATACATATGGGCCTCTGTGTAACTCAATCAGTGCTTCGGCGTCTGTCTTGCGACGCTTCGGTGGCCCCGCCGACATGGCTTGAGCCAAAACTGCTACTGAGTGATGGTAGCATGGATGCGATATCTGCAATCGCAACAGAGGATTGTGCGACGGGTGCCCCTCGCATACGATGGAACAACGACTTGCATTTTACATTGCACCATGCAGGCATACATGAACAATGCACACAAGCGTTATAGCACAGCGAAACAAATCGCGAGAAGTCGCGATCGGCGATGAGCAGAGCAGACAAGCGGCTATGAGCGCTCGTCTATGAACTTCATCGCCTTGGTGAAAGCCTCCTGGCGCGTGCTGCCCGTGTCCCAGCGGATGCGCCTGTCGGACCGCCCCAGGACAACCCTGTGCTGGGACTTGTCTGGCTGCGTGAATATATATACCCCGCGCGGTACTCGATCTTCGGGGCCCCCGCCAGCGGGGCCTTGGGCAGCGGCTTCGGCTTCGCCGTGGGCCTCGGCTTCGCCGAGGGCCTCCGCATGACCACCTTCATGGCCTTCTTCGGCGGGGCGCCCTTCATGACCTTCTTCGGCGGGCCCCCCTCCTCGTCGGCGAGTTCGTCGCCATCGTCGTCGGCGCCCTCGACGCCATCGGCATCGCCCCCAGCAGCTGCTGGACGCTTACTCAGGGCCACGGCCTCCTTACGCTTGCGCATTGTCTTGCGAAGCGCTGCCTCCTCATCAGATAAGTCGCCGAGCGGGGCGGGCATTCCTCCCGCGGCTGGTGGGGCCGCAGGCGGGGGCGCCTCCTGTGGTGAGGGCGCATCTTGCGGTGGCGCTTTGGGCTTCGGCATCATCCCTGGCGGAGGCGACCAAGAGTGTGACGATTGGCCAGGCACCATCCCTGGCGGAGGCACCATTCCTGGATGAGCGTACATATGGTACGCGTTCATCGTCCCGTACATGAATTGGTAGGCGCCGAAGTCGCAAATGGCGGGAGGCGGGGCGGTCGGCGGCGGCGGGGCGGGGCGGTCGTCCCGCACTTGCTTGGCCGCGTGCTTGCCGCCCTTCATCAGGCGACTGCTCAGTCGCACGAAGTCGGGCTCGTCGATGTACCAGTCCTGCCCGCGTGGCGGGTCTCCCTCGGGGTACGCGGCATAGTGCCACGATTCGCTCTCGAGGGAGTCTGGAGAATCGTATTCCCATATAGTTCTGTGTTTCCAGTCTCGTGCCTTCATGGTAGCCAGCTTCAGCTTGACCTGCACCAGAATGTCGTACCACATGTCGTTGGCAACGCCAGTGAGTTGGGACGATACCACCGCTGCGAGTTGACCCTTGCTCCCCTCGGACAGAGTGTACATGCCGATCGCATGGGCCCTCTTGCACACCATGGCGATCATCGCCTTCTGCGACATGTCGCCGCTCTTTAACTTGGTCGCCTCAGACGCCGAAAGGAAGCGCGAGAATGCAGTTACCTTCTGCCACTTCTTTATCTGCGGCGCTGGTCAGCACACCCGTCTTCTGCCCGACCGCCGTGCAGATTTCTGCAATCTGATCAGGGGACCAGTCTGGGAGCGCATTGTCCCGAATTGTGCCCACCAAGAGCGTGGCGTCGTCAGTGCTGATCGTTCCGAAGGATCGCACTCTCGACAACAGCGACTGCATCTGGTTGTCGGCGCATGTCTTTGCGTCGAGTCCGCAGCCGACTTGGGTATGATGCCAATCAATCAGAGGATTGAGTTCGGCCAGCACATCACGCATCGACGTCATTGCTGCTACGCAGCAGAAAGCGATATGCAAGTTCGCAAAACTGTTTGAGCCAAACTGGTTACGGAGCCCACGACGATGACGCGTGCACGCTTGGCGATGAGGCAAAGGTCAACAGGGGTGTCGAACAAACCAACAGCGCGAGGGTCGGTAGTCCTCTCGGGGGGGTGGTAGTCCTCTCGGGGGGCGGGGGGGGGGTCAGCCATCGCCGTCGCCACGGCTGGGCGCAGCTTGACAAACACTGACTTGGATGGGTCCACCCCCTTGCTCGGCATGCTAATCAGATGTAAGGCATGATTGGCGTGACCACTGATCATTTGACGTGGACCATTGCGAATCTGAACACATCATCGCACTTGCGAAGCCTCGCCCGACACGGCCCCATCAGCGCGGCATGCGCTCTGATTTGATGCTCGCGTGCTGCTCGCACGCGTTCTCCCACTCAGCGTGGGCATCGATGCGATCACCGATCGACTCCATCCACTCGCTCTTGGCCTCCTCCATCTTCTTCTTGGCGGCCTCGAACTTCTTGAACTTCTCGAGAACCTGGGAATCGTGCGCTAAAACAAAACACATATATACAAGGCACAGGCATTCAATGCCACCAAATTCAAATGCAATTGCAATTGCTAGTGCGGCGGCTAATGTCATTGCAATGAGTGCTTAACGTGTTTTCACACACGAGGCCACCTTCTTCGATGCACACAAGAACTCGGCCTTGCATGCTACCTTGGTGATGTTAGCGTTGGTCAGCCTGACATGTTTGTCCTCCTCCCAGTCCTTGCGAGCCTGGGCATCCATCGCGATCGTCTTGCGGGACTTGCCCATTGCCCCTCCACAACTGAACCGATAACTTGTGCAAAACCTATTGCAACTGAGCCGATAAGCCACACATCCCCCACCCACCCCCTAACAATTGACCCCAGATTTGCAATGGTTGCAACGCTGCCCCGACGAGCTCGATCCAGGCATTGCTTTCTTAGCGCATGGCGCGAAGCGCCCGCCCTCCCCGCGACAGGCGCAACTCTTGGGAAACGGTGTTTACACACTCTGTCCTAATTGCGTATCCACGCACTCACGCGCCGAAGCCTAAGGCCGTGCGCCCCCGTGCTCTGTACAAGCCCCCTGTGTCGATTACCAGCTTCCTTGCCCGATCGTGCTGCCCATGCAAGTCCACAGCGTGCTCACGCGCTTGCAGCCAAGCGTACTCGGCGTCCTCGGCCTTTTTCTCGGCCTTCTCGCACGCCTTGAAGCACTGCATCATCTCAAACCGAACGGGCGGGGCATGTCGGAGGGATGGTGGTGGGGGGGGGGGGGGGGATAGGTGCGGCGATAGGCGTCACCACGCCCGCCGAGAGACGCACAACCAGGCGGGATCACGCCGACAACATCAGACACACCCCGCAACCTAGCCCAGAACTATCATATCACACCGCTCTTCTAGTGTACATACACCGCACCAAACAACAATATCATCTCTGCATGCATATGCAAGCATGTCCCGACAGCGCACGGCGCGGCGACAAGGTCGCCTTGCGGTCCATCTGCTTCGCCTTCTTGAGGCTGTTGGCCTTGTGCTTGATGGCGGTGTCAAGCTGCTGGTTCCTAAACAGTCTATCCTCATGGCGATGCAGGGCTCGGAGTGCTTTGATATCTTCATGCATGCGCGGCATTGTGGCTATAGAGAAGAGAGACGGGCGCGATCTGTGCCAGAACGCTGCGACGATGATCGCATCCGTCGACGATGTGCGATCGCTGTCTGAGCAGCGTGATCTCCACCACCCCCGTCCTCGTCATCATTGGTATCCTCGTCCTCATCCCCCTCGCCACCCTCCGTATATGTTGGTACAGAACGGTTATCAGCCCAGCCCACCCACCGTCGACCTCCCCGCCCGAATTGGCGTCAATTGGTGACGGCTCGTCCTCGGCTTATGCTGGTGGTGGATCGTGGCGGAGCGGCCCCGTCGAGGATACGGCGGACCGCATGGTTGCTGATATGAACCAGCAGCTCGAGTCGGCTGATGGTCATCGCCGTGTGATCGTCTCCGTGGTTGATCGTGCCCTGAAGCAGCGCGATGACTACATCAAATGGCTGAATGAACAGATTCAGAGCAACGACGCCACGATCGAAGCTCAGAAGGCCACGATCGAGAGCCAGGCCGCCACTATCGCGAGCCAGGTCGCCACGATCGCGAACATTCGTGAGGGCCAGGACCGCGTCGCGAACCTTCGCGAGGACCATGAGGGTCGCGATTGCGGGGATGATGGGCGGCGGTGAGACGGCGCAGCCGATGCGGATGATAAGGGCAACGGCGGCGACGGCGACGGCGGCGACGGCGACGGCGGCGGCGGCGGCGGCGACGGCGACGACGACGGCGGCGACGGCGGCGGCGGCGACGGCGGCGACGGCGACGACGTCGGCGGCGACGAAGGCGGCGGACGACGACGACGACTGCGGCGGCGACGACCACGATGCAGGACGACGACGACGACGACGGCGACGACGACGACGGCGACAACGGCGACGGCGACGACGTCGGCGGCGACGAAGGCGGCGGACGACGACGACGACTGCGGCGGCGACGACGACGATGCGGGATGACGACGACGACGACGGCGACGACGACGACGGCGACGACGACGGCGGACGCCGACGACGACGACGGCGAATGCAACGCCTCAGGACACCTCAGGATACCTCAGGACACCTCAGGACACCTCTGAGATGACAACGCCAGGGCGCCTCAGGACACCTCAGGGCATCTCTGAGCTGACAACCCCAGGAGACCTCAGGACACCTCGGGACACCTCAGGGCACCTCAGGACACCTCAGGACGCTGAGGGGGGCGAGGAGGAGGATGGAACTGGGGGAGGCGGAGGCGGATGAGGAGGAAGCAGGAGGAGGAGGAGGAGGGGGGGGGGGGATGCAAAGGATGAGGAGGAGGAGGAGGAATAGGAGGGGGAAGGGATGAGAGGGAGGAGGGGGGAGGTCGATCGTTTCGCCGTCGATCGTGAGCCTCCGAAAAGTGCTCAGAGAAGCGGAGCGATCACGCTGAGCGGGAGCGACGCGTCGCTCAGCGATCGTCCAAAGGCCTCACGACCGATGCGATGAACACCTCTGAAGGTGGACCGAGAAGCGTCGCAGAGGGTACCACTGTCAGACGACACGCGCGTCGTCTTTGAGATTCTCAAAGGCGACACGTTGTCGTCTTTGAGATTCTCAAAGGCGACGCGCGTGTCGTCTTTGAGATTCTCAAAGACGACACGTTGGTAATATTAGATCTAATAGAGCTTTTGTACTTTTTAATTCTCAAAGACGACACGCGCGTCGTTTTTGAGATTCTCAAAGACGACACGTTGTCGTCTTTGAGATTCTCAAAGACGACACCCGTGTCGTTTGACAGCGGTACCCTCTGCGACGATTCTTAGTCCGCATTCGTGGCAGCCCTCAGCTGCTGTGCACCCCCGCAGCTTCGGCGGCAACTCCTGTGCTGAGTCGCCGCCGTGGGAGCCTCGACCCCTTCCGACGGGGCACACCCCGCCGACCACGCGACGACGACGACGACGACAACGCTGACGCTGACGCTGACGACGACGACGACGACGACGACGACGACGACGACGACGACGACCACGACCACGACGACGACACGGTGGTCGCCGACGTGTGCCCCGTGATCACACGGAGCTTGAGCCCGCTGCGCTCGCCGCAGCGTAGTCGGCGACCGCCTTCAGCCACACCTGCGGCTGCGTGCGGCGGCCCCAGGCCGCGTACTTCTGGTCCTGCTCGGACAGGTCACTCAAGCCCTGCAGGTGCTCCCGCACGGCCAGCGCTTTGGCGAGGCGGATGTGCTTGCCCCCGCGGGGGCGGGGGCCGTCGCCCCCGCCCCCGTCCTTGCCGTCGCCCTTCACGTGGCCGCCGTAGCCGTCCTTCTTGTGGCCGCCGTAGCCGTCCTTCTTGTGGCTGTAGTAGCCGTCGCCCTTGTCGTGGCTGTCGTAGCCGTCGCCCTTCTCGTGGCTGTAGTAGCCGTCGCCCTTCACGTGGCCGCTGTAGCCGTCGCCTTTGTGGCCGTAGTAACCGTCGCCCTTGTCGCGGCCACGCCACTCCTGGCCGTTGTAGCCGTCGCCTTTGCGGCCGTAGTAGCCGTCGCCCTTCACGTGGCTGTAGTAGCCGTCGCCCGTCTCGTGGCCATAGTAGCCGTCGCCCTTCTCGTGGCCATAGTAGCCGTCGCCCTTGTGGCCATAGTAGCCGTCGCCCTTCTCGTGGCCATAGTAGCCGTCGCCCTTGTGGCCATAGTAGCCGTCGCCCTTCTCACGGCCGTAGTAGCCGCCCTTGGCCCACCAGCCGTCCTTGCCGTAGTAGCCGTTCTTGGTGTGGCCGCCGTAGTAGCCGTCCTTATTGTGGCCGTAGTAGTAGCCGTCCTTGTTGTAGTAGCTGTCTTTGCCGCCGCGGCTGCAGCCGTCGTTGCCGTCCTTGTTGTAGTAGCTGTCTTTGCCGCCAACGCCCTCGCTGCTGTCGTCGTAGTCGTAGTAGTGGCGGCTTTTACGGCCACTGCTGTAGTAGCCGTAGCCCTCGGCGTCGCCATCGGCGGCGTAGCTCTCGCCCGCGCGGTCGTCGTAGCCACCGCCCTCAGCGTCGCCTCCTTCGCACTCATCCGCCGTGGCGCCCTCGTAGTCGCCGTCGCCCTCGTCGACCGCGTCGCCGCCGCCCGCGGCGTCGTCGCCACCACCCTCGGGCTCGTCGACCTCGAACTCGAGAAGGTCCTTCATCGAGTTCATAGTCGGGTTCATGGGCGGCGCGAGGTTGAGCTTCTCGAGCAGCGAGTCCGCCACCGAGCCGCGCCACGTCTGCACGCGAGTCTGTGCCGACCAGCACATCGCCTTGCGCTTCTTCTCGGCGGAGGCCATGGCGGCCGCCAAGATGTGCCCTGGCGGAGCCGTCCGCGGCGCGGTCGGCCGCTTCTTGGACGTCGGCTGCAGCCGCGACGGCTTCTCCTCCGCCA